AGCTCCAGCACTGTATTAAGCTCCAGTGTAAGTGCTGCCAATGCTCCTAAGTAAGGTGGAAATAGTAGTTCCATTGTAGCACCTTCTAGACAAGTTGTTAGAATTCAAGGGAACTGCATACGCCTAACTCTGAGGAAAGACGGCCAAGAGGGAATATGATAGTACTCTTCAGGAATTTAAAGGGAATGCATAGAGAAGGCATCATAATTTCAGAGTTCAGGTTAGGTGGGGTCTTAAGTTCCAGGAAGGCAGATATTGACTAGACACTAGATGATAGGAAAAGCATCTTAACAAGAATTCTTTGGCAGTGGAACCAATTAAAGAAGTAGATATGTTCAAGCACGCTTGGATAGCCATCTGTTATGAACACTTAATTTAGATCCCCCACTGGCCAGATAGTGGAGCTTCATGGTCTAAATAGCCCCTTCCAACTCTATTTTTCTACCCTTTGCACGAGTTCTGGCTGCCAGCTCAGATCCTTTGCTTTCTGCTTCTTCTGCTGTCTCTAGTCAGACAGGAAACAGATCAAACAGCAGGAGTCTCTCTACTCTCACTTCTGCACTGGCTCTTTTCATTCACCCATATGTGCACAGACTGTCTTTTATAGTTTCCTATGAGGACGTTTGTTTCTGATTTAACAGAAAGGTAAAGCGACTTCCCAGTGAGGTTTATTTTTCAGGTTTTTCTTAGATACATTTGTAACTAAAATAAAGAGGTAAATGACCATTGTATAGCTTAAATGCGTTTATCCATGGGTTGTCTTTCTCAGCCTCCAAGTAACTGGAATACTGCTATAAACACCGTTCAATGATGTAAATACTTTTCTTCCTCTCCTTTAAAAAAGAAAGATCTGAGCCTTTCGCACACCTGTATGGAAAGTTCTTCACTGAAATCCTTTAGTATTTTATCAAAACCTATACCTGTCACTTTTCCATGATTTCATGTCCACAGGAACCAGTTTACGTTGCGCTATGGATGCCATCCCCATACTAAAACCATTGAGATCTCTGGATGAAGTATCAGTACTTCTCCGAGTGATCAATAAGACACTCTTAATAAGAACAACAAAAAACCCTGCAGGAGAGGTAGTAGCAGAACCACCCTTTTCTTGAATTTTATATCCACAGAACAAATAATAATAGGTTAGAAGGGACCTTAGAAGTCTTCTAGTCTTCTAACTAGTGTTGTAACGGGTCTTCTAGTCTGCAGTTCAGCGATTCGAATCCCTAGCGCCGCATAACGGAGTAAGCTCCCATTACTTATCCCAGCTTCTGCCAACCTAGCAATTCGAAAGCATGTAAAAATGCAAGCAGAAAAATAGGGACCACTTTGATGAGAAGGTAACAGCATTCTGTGCGCCTTCGGCGTTTAGTCATGCCGGCCACACGACCACAGAGATGCCTTCGGACAGTGCTGTCTCTTCGGCTTTGTAATGAGCACCGCCGCCTAGAGCCAGAAACGATTAGCATGTATGTGCGAGGGGAATCTTTACCTTTACCTTATTCCAACCTTGCTCAACTAGAAGACCCTATACTGTTCTGGATAGATGGCTATCCAGTCTCTTCTTGAAAATCTCTAGTGATGGAACACCCACAGTTTCTGCAGGCAAGCCATTCCATTGATTATTCTGTCAGGAAATTTCTCCTTAGTTCTAGACTGGATCGCTCTTTAATTATCTTCTACCTGTTATTTTCTTGTGCTTCAGGTGCTTTGAAGACCCCTCTCTTCTGTGTGACAGCCCCTCAAGTACTGTTCAGTACTGCTCTCATACCATCCCTAGTTCTTCTCTTCATTAGACTACATACCTAGTTCCCTCAATTGTTCATTGTACAGTTTAGCCTTCAGATCCCTTATCATTTTTGTTGTTCTTCTGTGCACTCTTAAACTGAGAGTAATTTAGGGGTAGTACAGCAATTTTTAATTGCTTCTTTGTGGGTCAATGATTCAGTTTGGGAATACCAATTTAGAGACATTTGTATAAAACAACAGTGGGTTTTTTTGTGAAGGTAATGATAATTAATCAGTTTGAGATCTCCTCCTCCAAACATTTCATATGATGCATTGTTTTGAGAGAGAGAAAATGCTTGATATCTAATACTATGCAAACAATTTTTGTAACTGGTTTTTGAGCCGTGGTGGTGTAGTGATTAGAATGTAGTACTCCAGGCTACACTACACTACTCGTTCCAGGAGTTCGATTCTGAACAGCTCAAGGTTGACTCAGCCTTCCATCCTTCTGAGGTTGGTAAAATGAGGACCCAGATTGTTGGGGCCAATAGGCTGACTCTGTAAACCACTTAGAAAGGGCTATATACCGCTTCATAAAGTACTATGAAGCGGTATATAAGTCTTAAGTGCTATTGCTACTGCTCTTTTCCTTTGTTCATTCCTTTATTTACCGTCCTGAAAACTCTAAAAATATTTGTATTAAAATTAAAATATTGTAAAAGCCTGTTTTAATGGGGGTTCTAGGGCCATAATACATAAGCATCAGTTGTGGAGGAAGAGCTCCTGTCAGTGAAAATGGGAGGTAGGGAAAGGTGGTAGAACAAAAGGATATTTTTTTGCCAATTGGAAACTCTCCAAATTCCCTTTTTTCCATTAGTGCTGGAAAAATGTACCAGTGGACCTCAACTTATGACCATAATTGAAGTTGGAATTTTACTTGTAATTCATTGAGGTCATAAATCAAATAAACATGTGATTTGGCCATGCTCATTAAGATGCATTGGAGTCAAGTGACTAAAGCAATTCAAGTCAATTCAAGTAATGAATTGTCAAGTGAATCACATGGTCATAAATCCAAATTCAACTTAGCCAATGGCCATTTTTGGCTGGAAAATGGAAAAACAGGTCACAAAATGAGAACACATGACCACAGAACAATGCAACCATTGTAAATGCAAGTTGGTTGCAAAGCAGCCAAAATGCAATCACATGACCACAGGGTTGGTTTGGCAGTCATAATACCAAGGAATAGGTTGTAAGTAACATTTTCAAATCCATCAGAACTTTGGTCATTAAGGGACCAGTTGTAAGCCAAGGACTACCTGTATTTACTCCTTCTGTGCCAAAGCTGAGACAGAAATTAACTAACTTAGCTGCTGAACAATAACAAGGAGCGTCACCTCAATCTTGAAGCAGTGCCAAGAGACTCCATGGAGGTGTCCTGAGCTTGTAATTCAGCCCAAGCTTGTGCGATCAATGCCTCTCTCCTCTTGGACAATAAGCAAGTCGATGGTGCTGTAATGAATAATAATAGCTCCACCGGGACCCTCAGGGCACCAAAGCAGTGAGATTTCTGGAATGCTGATGCTTTTTTCCACTATTGCAATACTAAAGTTACAAAACTAAGCTTTTGTAATTGGTGGAGCAAAAGTCAATGATGACATGAGGATAAAGAAATAAAATCTCATTTAAATGAAACTCAACCCTAACCTTGAGCATCCACATCAGTTATATAACCTTAGCAACAGTATGGAAATAATTTATCATTGCATTGAGAAGGACCAGAGAAGACATAATAGCAGTCTTCCAATATTTGAGGGGCTGCCACAGAGAGGAAGGGGTCAAGCTATTTTCTAAAGTGCCTGTAGGCTAGACAAGGAATAACGGATGGAAACTGAACAAGGAGAGATTTAACCTGGAAATAAGGAGAAACTTTCTGACAGTGAGAACAATCAACCAATGGAACAGCTGCCCTCGGAAGTTGTGGGAGCGCCATCACTTGAGACTTTCAAGAAGAGCTTGAACTGCCATTTGTCAGAAATGGTGTAGGGTCTCCCGCTTAGGCTAAGCGGGGGGTTGGACTAGATGACTTACAAGGCCCCTTCCAACTCTGATTATCTGTTATGTTATCTGCCTTTGTGCAGTCTAGCCTACAGCCCTGAAATTTTCTGAAGGTCTCTCATCCAAGAACCATAATTTTGATTACCAGGTGTTCTCCCAATCACCAGTTTCCCAAATATTTATGGGTATGGTCATTGCGGCCAAGATGGACTATCAATTTTCCCAGAGGTGTTTGCCATTTTCATCTTTTTCCCAGAAAAGATAGCCAGGTGTTGCAAGCCCACCCTTGATGTCTAGACAACTAAGCCCACTTCATCCATACCTATCACCTTCATACCATACCATTAAATACTAAATTCAATCCATTATTTTTACCCACAGACTATTCTATCTGGGTTTGTACTTTTATTTATATTGCTTTCTCACTAGTCCTGAACCAATTCTTTCTTCCATATGTTTCCTAAAGCATTCATCCATCCACATTGAATTAAATAAATGTCTATGCAGGAAAATGCATAGTGATTGCATTAAATGTAGAACAAGAGGCAACTGTTGCAACTATCTTTAGCTGAGATAACTATCTTGATTGTAAATAAAATAAAAGCTGTTTTCTGTCTTTTGGTGGGGGGAAATGACTCCAGGCATTGTTTCAAATGCCTAGTGAAGCCTTCAGCCCAGGAAAAGGTATCTTGGCAGCAGTCCCACATTTGTAATTCAATATATTGACACCACAAGTATACTGTCGGCCAGGGTACAAGTATATTGACAGCCCAAGTATGGGAAGCCAAAAATTTGCTCACAAGTGGGCAAAAGGTAAAATATTAGAAAAAAAAAAGTCAGAACTGGGTGGGAAAGTTTTGCTGCCCCCTCCTTTTGAATCCCCCCCCCCCCCAAAACAAAACATTGGGTAGCTATTGCTGAGATTCTTGAATCGCTTCGTTTGCAGCATTAAAGTTCTCGCACTAGGCAGGGAACCGCCCCCTCCCCTGACAGAAAAAAAGAAAGAAAGAAAGAAAAGAGGGCGATATTAATATCTGGGCAAAAAGTGACACGCACCAATTCGCAACTCCTCTTTCAGCGGCCCGGCCAGCAATCAGAGCTCCCACGAAGGCAGGAACCTCCCCTCAACCATCTGCCCGCCTCGGGCCGCGACCGACCAGCCAGCGCCGCCCCCCCCCCCCCCCCCCCAACAACAACCCGGGATCAGAAAGTGAGAGAACAAGGCCGTCCTAAAAGGGTTTTAACCCTTTTCCCTTTGTCTCCCCCACAACTAAGCAGCTGCTTCTTCACCCCCTCCCACTCCAACCACACCTCCCCGGCCCCAGCCCGACGATTGAGCTCCCCAACTCTAGCCCCGGGGCAGGCAGCCATGGCAAGGAAGAGAGGCGGCGGCGGCGGCGGTAACGGGCGCCGTGGCTGTGACAAGTAAAGCGCCCGCAACGGCCAAGCAGTCTGGGGGGCGCAGCCGGGGGCGTAGCTGTTTTGTTCCAGAGCTCCATGCACCGTGGCGGAGACGCGGCGCCAAGAAGGCAGGGTTACAAACCCAGCCCGTCACCCCGCGCCTGGCTGCAAACGGAGGTAGGGGCGCACTGTTTTTTTTTGAGGGGGGGTCGAGGAGGGGGTGCAAGGGTGGAATAACGGGAGGTATTTCTGTTGGTTTTTGCGACCCGCGTGGTGGAAGCCCGACCGATGCTGGAGCGTTTGGGGCTGAGGACGAGGCGCGCCCGCGTTTCCTTTTCGACCAAGTTGCGGCGACTGTGGGTTGGAGTCCGCCGCCCCAGGACCCGAGCTCCGGGCGAGTTTTTTCCCCTCCGAAGGAGCCGGAGAAGCGGGCGCCTTTTTTTTTTTTTTTTTAAGGTAACATCGGCCGAACTCTTCGCTCAGGTAGAAGAAGGAACAGCAGCCGCCTGTTGCGCGCCAACTTCTAGGAAGTTTCCCCGAGCCTTGAAAATCCAGGGTAGGATTCGCTTCCTCGGGCAATGGGAAGTTGGAGAGGCGAAGCGGGTGCGGGGAAAGGAAGGGTTGGAGGGGGGAAAAATGTCCCGGTGCGGGAATCGGTAGCAAAAGAAAAAAAAAAGAAAAAAAAAAGGAGCGTCTGGTTTCTGGCTTTTATGGACGAAAAGGCTGGTTCTGTTCACGCAGGGGAATGAATGTTTCTGGAGGATTTCCTGAGCGGTAGCCCAGCTGTTTTCAATCCGTTGGAGCTAAAAGGAGAACCTTGTGACACTTCAAAAGAAGAGAGAGGAAAGACCGAAGCAAGGGTTCATGTGAATGGAGGTGCAGCTGGGTTTAGTCGTTCAGATTAGAGGCGTGTTTAAGTGGCCGCCGAATTCTCTGTGGCCTTTTCTAGTGGAGGCATTTCCTTTGGCAAGCATTGGGGAGACTGGAAGCCAGAGAGCTGAGGCAAGATCCAGAGAGGCAAGCGAGCAGGACGGCTGCAGCTGAAGTAAAACGTGAACGCATAAACGCAAAGTAGTATTTGACGAGATATATTTTTTAAAAGGCAGTTGCGTTTGGCAGGGTTGCTAAAGTCAATAGCCTTTGGAAAGATCCCCACAAAACTTTCTGACAGTCTTTGACAAACCACCTGCTAGTCCTTGTGCTACAGGTGAAGTTTTTGCCCTTAACATTGAAGATGGCCTGTCAGCAACTTCATGTTTCACCCTGTTCATTTTTCTCCCACATACTGAACTACAATCAACAGTTATTTTAGTTTTCCCCTCTGAAAGGTTTGAAAGATTTAGTCAGACAAAAGAACCTTTAAATTTTTCAAAGATGGGTTAAGATTGCAGGCAGTCTCATAATCTTGTTGGGAAACAACATTTCCTAAAAGTTGCACAATTTTTATGGGTGCTTAAACTGCTGAATTTTCAATGGGATTTTTTCCCAGTATAGTACTGCAAACTTAACATAGGTTATTCATAACATCTTAATAATTTTTCTCATAATGTCAGGATGATTTGGATATTGTCCACACCTGGAGTAAAAGATTCTATACTGCGTATTTTAGCTGTAGCAAGAATTACATCATTGTATATTAAACTACTCTTTATCCAGCATCTTTGAGGTGCTGCCATGATGGCTACAATCCCATATTTAAGTTTTGGGGAGAAACCTTCAGTGTTAACCTGTCTTTCAGTAGATATACATGGGATTGCTTGCCTATTGTCCAGCTTTACATAATGATGCTAAAGCTAGCAAATAAATATAAATACAATTGATGAATTCTTCACACTTAGTTTCAATTACTGTATATACCTGCCTGTAATTTATATCAGTAAATGTAAGGACGATTCAGTTAATTACTATGATGGATCTTTATTTCAAAATAAGACTCTGCAGTCTCTAAATTTGTATTATTGAGCTTATCAGACTAAATGGAACATATTTCTATCAACTCAGTTGTGCTATGCATCTTACTTACTCCTGGCTAAGCACGCATAGATTGAAGATGGATTAAGGCAGCAGTTTTAAATTATTCCACCCTGCTTCTATTAATGGGAGGCAGACCTGGGATCCTGTTACCAGCTGTAGGCTTTACACTTATCTACTTTTAAGCTAAGTGTTCTTGTGCTTTGGGTGCTGCAGAGATACAGAATGGCCAGGACTGCTCTGATTCATAGACATGCAATTGTAATTTGTGGTTTTTGTGAAGTCTGTTCATAGCCTTAATTTACCATTATATATGTACGAGTGTTAACTGGCAGTAAGTGTTATTAAGCTCAACTGTGCTTCTTTCCCTTTTCTGAGTTACGAAAAGAATGTTTGATGTAGTATGCCTTTCTTAGATGGAAAATTGGGGTATATCAATACTTCAGATATTGTCAATCAATTAGTATTTGTGTTATTTTATTATAACTGTTCCCAAGTTCAAGGTTTGTTTGTTTATATCTTGCCTGTATTGTTTTTATAAATAACTCAAGGTGGCAAACATACCTAATACTGCTTCCTTCTCTTGTTTTCCCCACAACAATCCTGTGAGGTGTGTTAGACCAAGAGAGAGTAACTGGCCCAAAGTCATCTAGTTGGCTTTCATGTACAAGTCAGTTTCCTTGTTTCCAGCCTGATATCTTGAGAGAGAGGGAGGGAAGAGATTTTTTATAATTTCATTTGTATAGTAATAAAAAGACATGATTGTGTTTGCACAGTAGAGTTAACCATATTACTAACTTATTTGGGAGGGAGGTGTATAACACCTAGCTATAAATTAACCAAATGAGTTAAAATTAACCAAGATCCCAGTGTTGTTCAGATGCTTTCATTGGTTTTTGATTGACGTGGTTAAATATGCTGGGTGGAAGTAATGATGGACAGATTCCACCATGCCCTCTCTCATCCTGGGCTTGGCCATCAAGATCTGATAATTGGATGGGGTTCACATTTTGTGCTAAATCCAGACAAGACTCAGTTGGTTTGGTATAGTATGATGCAAGCATCTCCTTTATTTTGATTTATATTACATGTTTTATAATTTAATGTTATACATGAATCCAACCATTGTGACTTATACAATGAAGTATAGAGGTTTAGTTCAATGTGTGATTCCAGTCTACCTCAAGAGTTTTCAGTAGAAGACATTTTCAGAACTGAGAGATTCCAATTTAATGTTCTGCGCTATTCTAATTCAAACCCTTTATAATAGCCTTTTCTAACTTAATGCTCTCCCATGTATTAAATTCCAAGTCCCCTCAACTTCATCCAGGCAGTGTCTGGCTTGGGATGATTAGAAGAGAAAGGGGGAAAAAACCTCCATATGAAGAACATCTAAGAACATCTAAGCTTAGCTTGAAGAACTTCTAGGCTTCTAGGGGTTCCTATACAGTAATTCTCAACAGACCCAGACTTGGCAGACAATAATAATACTGGAAATTATAGTTAGATCCAATTTGCATTTGGTTTGATGCTGAATGCTATCAATTGCAGGAGAAAAAGGTGCAAGCAGATTTGTGTAATTAGATCAGGAGTGTCAAACTCGTGGCATCACGTTTTTGTCACGTGACTTATTGTGACTTTTCCCTCTTGGCTAAACTGGGGGTGGCCAGCACATGATGCATCCGGCCTGCAGCTGCAAGTTTAACACCCCTGAATTAGATAGTCATTGCATTGCTGGTTGACAAACCTGATGTTTTTTAAAAAAGGTATCTCCTTTTCATTTTAAGACTGCTAACTTTTTCATGCATTTTATTTTTTGTCTTCTTCCAGCTTGGGTGGTATAATATGACTGATGAGTCCCAAATGCAAGCAGAACGCTTAAGACAATTGCATCGATGTGCCAAAAGTTTATCCTTGCTGCTTGCTCTGTCTTGGCATTTTAAGCTCTTATGTTTGATGGTCAAACAGATGGCTAAATTTTATTGGGAAAACTGCCTCCTGTTGCACTAGCAAGTTCCAATATCATATTCATGTCTGTCTTCTACATCTAACATTTCCCAGAATAATTTGACATGTTGCCCTTGATTTAGCATCTTAAATTTCTTTATAGCCTTAACCTGCAATCACCCTTCTTTTTTGGATCATCCTCAAACACAGGTTGTTTCATCCTATTACGGTTACAGCCTTCAACCTGAACTTTCTTTTGCATTTCAAGTGAAATATCACAAGCATTTCCTCCACTGGCTGTTTTTCCTTAATACTACGCAGAAATTAGATTTAAACACATGGAAAGATGATCTTTCTTTGGAATCTTTGAGCTTTGCCTTTTCCAGTTTGGTGCCTCCCACATGTCCAAAGATTCCAAGTCTGAATTTCCAGCCAGCCTAAGGAATTCATTACTTTAAAGAAAAGGAGGGACGCTTTAAATTTTTTTTTTCAGCACCATTGTAACTTGGAACGAATCCTGAATGAATAGTGAGGCATATAGAATACAACTTTCAAATACCCAGCTATAAATCAGTGATATGCAGCTGTTCAGAATTTTGGTGCTTTCTATCTCTGTTGCCTCATATTTCTTTCTGTGCCCCTCCTACTTGTAGACAGCATAAAAGTAGGTCTGTATGAAATTGAGATGGGAAATGAAATTGAGGTGGGAATCTAAGATTTGCCCTCCACATCTTCATGGAACTTTACTGATGTTCCTCCTTATTCTGACTCTGTCCAAGAGCAGCCTAAAAGTGAGCAAACTCAAGTAGGGGTTATCACTTAACAGTTGATTAGAAGTCAGCTGACTTCAGCTATTTAGAACAGAAGGAACAATAGGATTGGCATTGGCAACAAATTTAATTCCAGTGTAGTTTTTGCAGACTCAAGATTGGTGGAGAAACTTACCTAGTGAGGAAACTTTCCAAGATGCCGTTCATAAATCAGATTGAAGGCCATTACAAGATCCTTTTTTTGCTAAATAAAAATTTGAAGCTTAACTAACAAGACACCCTCCCTCCAGTTTAAGGGTTTGCACCTCCAGCATTCCCTACTTTATATGACTTCCAGCTTTTCTCAACCTGATGGAGATCTGATCTTCTGCTTGAAACAGAATAAATCTGGCAGTCTAGAAGATCTTTGCTGATCCCATTTGACCCGAGAAAATATACTCAGACTTAGCCTAATCACTCCCCCCATCCTCAACCATTTGACAATCTTTG